CACACACACACACACACACCCCCCTGTGCACACCCGCACACCACGCACGGCCGTGCTCCCCCTGCAGCCCCGCACACGCAGCCCCGGGGGCTGCCCGGGCCCCCCGTGTCCGTGTCCCTGTTCCCGTGTCCGTGTCCCTGTTCCCGTGTCCGTGTCCCTGTTCCCGTGTCTGTGTCCCCGCTATCCCCCCTGTCCGTGTCCCCGCTGTCCCCCGTGTCCGTGTCCCTGTCCCCCGTGTCCCCGCTGTCCCCCGTGCCCAGCCGCGTTCCCCGGTGTCCCGGAGCCGCTGCCGGCGGAAGGCTCCCTGCCGGGCTCCCCTCCCCTTCCGGCGGCCATGGAGCCGTGCTGGGAGCCGGGCGAGCCGGGCGAGCCGGGGGAGCCGGGCTGGCCTCGCTCCGGGGGCTCGCTGGGTCCCCGGGGGCTGCTGGCACTGGCCGTGGCCAGCGGGGCGGCCGCGTGGGCAACCTGGGCTGTGCTGCTGATGCCCGGCTTCCGCCGCGTCCCCCTGCGCCTGCAGGTACCCCCGCACCCCCCGGACCCTCCCGACCCCCGCACCCTGACCCCCTGACCCCCTGTGCCCCCCAGGTGCCCTACCAGCCCTCCAGCCCCCGGCAAGTGGCCAACGCCCTGGCGCTGCTGCGGGGCCGCGCCGGGAAGACCGTGGACCTGGGATCCGGAGATGGACGGCTCGTAAGGGCTGGGTCCTGCGGGGATTGGGGTGTCCGGGGTGGGCGAAGGGCAGGGAGGGGGCTGGAGAGGGTGATGGGGAGACCCCCAGCCGGCTGCTGCCTGGCTCCTGGCCGTGGTTCAGGGTGGCCCTCCTGGCTACGATCCAGGACCATCCCAGGTGGTCCCAGAGGGATGGTCTTAGACAGCTGTAGGTGGTTCTGGATTGTTCTAGCTGTCCCTAGATGTTCCTAGGCTGTCCTAGGTGGTCCTAGGCTGTCCTAGGTGGTCTTAGGTGACCCAACATGGTCCTAGGTGGCTCTAAACAGGTGATTCTAGGCAGTCCTCGGTGGTCCAGAGTAGCTCTAGATGGTTGTAGGGGGTCTTGGGCAGCCCTAGAAGACATCACATGCAGGGAGCAGGGTGGGAATGAGGGATGTGGGTGGTGCTGAGTACCGAGGTCTCCCTGCCTGTGAGCTGGCAGGATGGGGTGAGTGGAGCTGGGCGACAGCCCCTGCCCACCCAAATCCTGCCCCAGCATCAACACTGAGATGCTTTGGGTTTCAGCCCTCCCCCTCTCCCTCTCCAGGTGCTCGAGGCTTACAAGCAGGGGCTGAGGCCAGCCCTGGGCTATGAGCTCAACCCCTGGCTGCTGTCCCTGGCCAACTACCGTGCCTGGAAGGCCGGGTACCACGGGAAGGTGTCCTTCCTGAAGGAGGATCTGTGGAAGGTAACAGCATCCCGAGGGTCTGGATGTGCTCAGGGCAGGGCCAGAGATCTATTTGCATCTCCAGGATGGATTTGCTAATGGCTGCTCGCTCTTTCCCCATCCCACGCTGCTTCTGGGAGGTGGAAGACCATCCTCCTTTCCAGGGGAATGCCAGCTGGGGCAGCCCATGGCCAGTTCTGCTTGGAGCAGCTCTGAGCAGAGAATCCATCTGTGAATGTGGGTCTGGGATGGTGCTGGAGGCAGATGTTTCCCAAGACATGCTGCTTTCACACCTACACTTCCCCATCCCACGTGTTTTGTGGCATCTTTGCTCCCTCCAAAGTTCCAAAGATCACCCACAAGACGCTCAAACAGTTGTTCCTGCTCTGCCTGTTGCTCGTTATTCCCCTTTTCCTTCTGTTTTAAGGTGAATCTTTCTGACTGCCACAATGTGATTGTGTTCCTGGCCCCCAGTGTGGTGAGTCAGTCCCTCACACCCTGACTTGTTCTGGGCCAGCTCAAGCGGGCTTTTCCTGGGAAAAGAGAGGGGATCTGGGATGGAATAAGGCCAAGTGGGCATCACTGGGGGTGAGTGGTTTGGTGCTACACAGCATTTGGATTCATAGAATCATGGAATTGTTTAGATTGGAAAATCCCTCTGAGGTGGAGTCCTACCATTCCCCCAGCACAGCCAAAGCCACCACTAACACATGTCCCCAAGTGCCACATCCATGTCTGTTAAATCCCCCCAGGGATGGGGACTCCACCACTGCCCTGGGCAGCTGTGCCAGGGCCTGACCTCCCTTTCCATGAAGAAATTTTCCCAATATCCAACCTAAACTTCCCCTGATGTATCTTGAGGCTGCTCCTCTCATCCTGTTGCTCATCACTTCCTCCAAGTCTCAGCCCTGTGCTTTGAAGGGTGTTTGGTTGATGCCCCAGAAGCTGCCCCGTGCTCCCTGGTGGCAGTGCCACTGTGTGACTGTGTCCTGTCCCTGTCCTTGGCTGTGTCTCTCTCCCCAGAAACCTCCCTTGGCCACCAAGCTGCTGGCAGAACTGCCCGACGACGCCCGGGTGGTGGCTGGACGCTTCCCCTTCCCTTCCTGGAGCCCCAGCTGCACCCTGGGGCAGGGGCTGGAGCAGGTCTGGGCCTATGACATGAAGGAGGTGCGGAGAGAAGCGCAGGGCAGCGCCCAGGAAAGCCAGGTCTGACCCCAGCCTCATTAAGCCCGGTTTAACACCAGCCTCGTTAAGCCTGGCATTAAGGGTCAGAGCCACTCCAGCCCTTGGCTCAGCTCAGGACAGAAGTGCTTGGCCAGCATTTGTCCTGGGGACTTGCAGGGTGGCAGTCCTTCATTTATCCAGAGTGTGAGCAGTGCAAGGGAGGAGAAAATCAGACCTAGAAATCATGGGGTTAACACAGGATTTAAGAGATAAAGCTCCAGTGCCTCTTTTTGGATGATTGCTATTTTATTTCTGTTTAATTTATAAAAATAAAGCTTTGCTTGATTGTTCCTCTGAGGTTTTTGCTTTGTCTTTGAGCTGCTGGATGGTCCTGGAGTTGGAGCAGCTGCTGCTCCTGGACTCAGGCTTTGCTCTGCCATCCTTTCCAGCTCACTTCTGTGAAGGGTCAGTTTGGCCCTGTTTGTTAATTGAATATTCCGTTTTCTACCCAAACACAGAGGAAAATGGGGTTTTCCCAGCACAGAGTCTCAGAATTAAGGAATGGGTTGGGTTGGAAGGGACCTTGAAGCTCTTCTTGTTCCATCCCTGCCATGGCAGGGACACCTTCCACTGTCCCAGGCTGCTCCAAGCCCTGTCCAGCCTGGCCTTGGACACTGCCAGGGATCCAGGGGCAGCCACAGCTTCTCTGGGCAACCTTTCACCACCTTCACAGTAAAAGAGCAGCTCATCCCTTTGTCCAGCCCCAGAACAAATCCTGGTCTGAGCCAACCTTGGCTCTGTCTTGTGGGAGCCATGAGGGGAGCAAGGCAGGAGCAGCCCCTGGTCCAGGTCCAGGTCCAAGGAATTTTTCATCCAGGAAAAAAGTTACAGCAGGAGCAAGAACCTGTCCCCACAAGGCAGCAGTAAAGTCTGGGAGCCTGACCCCGTGCTCAGGGAAGAGCAGAATTCCTGTAGCTGACGGATGGCTGGGGACAGACATCACAGTTGTCTCATTTTAGTCCTGTGAATTTAAGACCAGGAACATCCACGTGGTTTTGCTGTTCCCACCTCCCAGCCTGGGAAGGATCCTTGCCTGGCAGTCCATAAAACACTGACCTCCCTCAGAGTCTGGGTGTTCCCAGGGCTCGTGGCTGGCACTGCTGGCTCGGGCACCTCGCTGCCCTCGGTGTTCCTCAGCCGCAGGATCTCCTGCTTGTACCTGCAGTGGAAGTGGCACTGGCACTGCCTACGGTCCCCAGGCCACCAGCCATGCCTGGAGCTGAGCCTGGCACGTGGATCCTGCAGCTTTTCCCAAAGAAAAGGCGTTTGTGGGCTCTGCCAGGCAAGGGCAGAGCCTGACCCAAGCCCACGGCGGAGCTGGCTGGGGAGTCATGGCAGGAGCAGGTGGATCATGCCCTGACACACCTGCCCTGCTTGTCCTCTCCCTTCCCTGCCCTTCCCTGCTGCTCTCCCTGCTCCAGAGCAGGATCAGCCAGGGAGAGGGAACATAGATCAGAGGCTGCTGGGAGCACTTAGATTAGAACCTGTGAAAAAAAAGAACTCTAAAGGTTTTAGGCTTTAGATTTTATGTTCCTGTGAAGGCTCCAGGGACACCTCAGAGCCCCTTCCAGGGCCTAAAGGGGCTCCAGGAGAGCTGGAGAGGGAATTGGGACAAGGGATGGAGGGACAGGACACAGGGAATGGCTTCCACTGCCAGAGGGCAGGGATGGATGGGATATTGGGAAGGAATTGTTCCCTGGGAGGGTGGGCAGGCCCTGGCACAGGGTGCCCAGAGAAGCTGTGGCTGTCCCTGGATCCCTGGAAGTGTCCAAGGCCAGGCTGGATGGGGCTTGGAGCAACCAGGGCTAGGGGAAGGTGTCCCTGCCCATGGCAGGGGAACTGGATGAACATTTATGTCGCTTCCACCCCAACCCATTCCATGATTCTGATTCCTCCCAAGGATGGGTGAGCATGCAGGGAAGGAAGGACATGTGTGGTGGGGCGTGTCTGTCCTGCTGCCCTGTGGCACAAGAGGTGGTAGCAGCTGCCTGGAGGAGCAGTGGCACGTCAGCCGGGTTGGCAGCGCTGTGACAGGGTCAGCAGTGGCCACAGAGAAATCACTGGCACCAAGCCTGGAGCTGGAGCAGGGGGGGATCCCCCATCTCACCTGGCAAGGTGCTGATCGATGTACCCCTGCAGCTCCACCACCTGCTCCTCTGCCACCACAGCCCGAGTCAGCAGCTGGCTTCTCTCCTGCTCCAGCTCCTCCTGCAGGGGTGAAAAAACACAGAGAAAACATGGAAAGAAAAGGAGATCTGAGAAGGGAGTGATGTGGTTCAGCCCCTCTCTGCTGCTTCCAACCACTTCCCCATCACTCTGACCTCTCAGCCATGACATCCCCCTTGTTTTGGCCACAGAGATACATCCCAGGAGGGGCTGAGCTTTACATCCCCAGGGAATGGTGGGGCTCTCCCTCGGGTTGCTGTGGACTGGGAAAGGCACGACATGGAAGTGAAGATCTCTGTAGCCAGGAGGAACCAGACTTGGAAGCTGATTCAGATTCAGCCTAGACTTGAGCGAGGTCAAATAGAATCAAAGAACTGTGGAATTGCATAGGCTGGAAAAGCCCACTAGAATCCAGGTGTTAACCTGGCACTGCCAAGGCCACCACTGACCCATGTCCCCAAGTGCCACATCCACACAGCTTTTAAATCCCTCCAGGGATGGGGACCCCACCACTGCCCTGGGCAGCTGTGCCAGGGCCTGACCACCCTTTCCATGAAGGAATTTTCCCCAATATCCAACCTAAACCTCCCCTGGCCCAGCCTGAGGCTGTTCCCTCTCCTCCTGTCCCTGTTCCCTGGGAGCAGAGCCCAACTCCCCCGGCTGTCCCCTCCTGTCAGGGAGTTGTGCAGAGCCAGAAGGGCCCCCTGAGCCTCCTTTTCTCCAGGCTGAGCCCCTTTCCCAGCTCCCTCAGCTGCTGCTGCTGCTCCAGCCCCTTCCCAGCTCTGTTCCCTGCCCTGGACATGCTCCAGCCCCTCGATGTCCTTCTTGCCATGAGTGGCCCAGAACTGCCCCAGGACTGGAGATGTCCCAGCAGTGCCTGGCAGAGGGGAACAGTCAGCCCCAGAGATGCCCAAAGGTTGTCCTGAAACGTGGGCAGGAGTGACAAGGGGCTGCTGTCCTTGCTTTAGGAGCAGGGACAGTAAAGCCTTGAGACACCATCAGCTGGGGCCTGCAGGCAGTGCTTGGAGGGCTGAGGCCAAATCCCCAGCAAGGCTCCATGGAAAGGGATCCCCAGGGAATGGGCACAGCCCTGAGGCTGCCAGAGCTCCAGGAGTGTTTGGACAACACTCCCAGGGATTCCCAGGATGGGATTGTTTGGGCCAGGAACGGGACTGGAGGATCTTTGTGGGTCTCTCCCACTCAGGGTATTCTGTGAGTCCATGGAAGTTCCCCCTCCAGCCTGGAGCAGCCCCAGGGCAGGAGCTGAGGCAGCACATCTCTGCCGTGTGGGGGAGATGAGCTTTGGCTCCAATGGGCTGTTCCAGACCTTTACCTGGGTGTGGAGAGTGAATTCCCGGAGCTTCTTCCTGACCTCTGCCCAGCCCTCCTCATCCAGCTGCCTGCGACAGGAGAGCCCATTTGGGTCAGGCCCTGACACCAAACCCAGCCCCTCCACACATCACACAGCCCCACACATCACAGCCCCACACATCACACAGCCCCCCACATCACACAGCCCCACACACCACACAGCCCCCCAGATCACACAGCCCCACACATCACGCAGCCCCACACACCACAGCCCCACACATCTCACAGCCCCACACATCACACCGCCCCACACATCACAGCCCCACCCATCACAGCCCCACAGATCACGCAGCCCCACACATCACACAGCCCCCCACATCACACAGCCCCACACACCACACAGCCCCCCAGATCACACAGCCCCACACATCACGCAGCCCCACACACCACAGCCCCACACATCTCACAGCCCCACACATCACACCGCCCCACACATCACAGCCCCACCCATCACAGCCCCACAGATCACGCAGCCCCACACATCACACAGCCCCCCACATCACACAGCCCCACACACCACACAGCCCCCCAGATCACACAGCCCCACACATCACGCAGCCCCACACACCACAGCCCCACACATCTCACAGCCCCACACATCACACCGCCCCACACATCACAGCCCCACCCATCACAGCCCCACAGATCACGCAGCCCCACACATCACACAGCCCCCCACATCACACAGCCCCACACACCACACAGCCCCCCAGATCACACAGCCCCACACATCACGCAGCCCCACACACCACAGCCCCACACATCTCACAGCCCCACACATCACACCGCCCCACACATCACAGCCCCACCCATCACAGCCCCACAGATCACGCAGCCCCACACATCACACAGCCCCCCACATCACACAGCCCCACACACCACACAGCCCCCCAGATCACACAGCCCCACACATCACGCAGCCCCACACACCACAGCCCCACACATCTCACAGCCCCACACATCACACCGCCCCACACATCACAGCCCCACCCATCACAGCCCCACAGATCACGCAGCCCCACACATCACACAGCCCCCCACATCACACAGCCCCACACACCACACAGCCCCCCAGATCACACAGCCCCACACATCACGCAGCCCCACACACCACAGCCCCACACATCTCACAGCCCCACACATCACACCGCCCCACACATCACAGCCCCACCCATCACAGCCCCACAGATCACGCAGCCCCACACATCACACAGCCCCCCACATCACACAGCCCCACACACCACACAGCCCCCCAGATCACACAGCCCCACACATCACGCAGCCCCACACACCACAGCCCCACACATCTCACAGCCCCACACATCACACCGCCCCACACATCACAGCCCCACCCATCACAGCCCCACAGATCACGCAGCCCCACACATCACACAGCCCCCCACATCACACAGCCCCACACACCACACAGCCCCCCAGATCACACAGCCCCACACATCACGCAGCCCCACACACCACAGCCCCACACATCTCACAGCCCCACACATCACACCGCCCCACACATCACAGCCCCACCCATCACAGCCCCACAGATCACGCAGCCCCACACATCACACAGCCCCCCACATCACAGCCCCACACCACAGCCCCACACCACCGGTGCCCAGCCCACCCTGATCCCCAGAGCTGGAACCTTTCCTCTCCCAATGCCCAAACTCCAGCATTGTGGAGTCACAGCCCTTCAGCCAACCTGGGCCTGCCCACCCCAGCCTGGGGCTGCTCCAACCCCCACCAGCACAGGAGAGTGCTGAAGCTGCCGCTGTGGGGCTGGATTTGATGGGAACAGGGAGCCACCAATGCCAAAGGCTGGCACGTTCTGCTCAGCCAGCACCAGAAGAGGTGAGCTGTCTGCACAGCCCAGCGTGGGAAAGCCCTTCCCACCCCGTCCCAGCCTCCGGGGGGAGAATCCAGGTCACATCTGATGCTTGGGGAATTTGGGCTGTGTGAAGGCAGGAATGCATTGTGCTCCCTCCTGTTCCCTCCAACTTCCCAGCACCGAGATCCCGGCTGGGCTTTCGTGGGAGCCGCAGGAGAAGGGAACAATAAACAGGGAATTGGTGCAGCTGGTAAATCCCCACATGGGAGGTGGAAGGAGCTGGGCTTTGAGGTCCCTCCCAAGCCAACCTGTTCTCTGACAAAGGCCAGGAGCAGGAATTGGAGCTGAAGTGCTGCGGGAACACCGGGATTCCCATCTCTAGCTGGAGGAGCATGGATCATCCCAGCAATATTTGAAGTGTGTGGGGTCTCTTGGCAGTTAAAAAAAAACCCTAAATGATGAGATGCATCACTAAAATTCAGGTTCTGGACTTTGCATGCCCTGCTCCTGTGGTGTCTGCCCAAATTACTGCATTTACTCACGGAGCACTGCTATTTTCAGTGTGGAAAACGTGGCAGAGGCTGGTTGAGGCTCAAGTCTGTGCCTGAGCCACCCCTCCAGAGCCCAGGGCTCTGGCACTCACCCACTCCTCAGTGCTGGCATCCAGCTAATGGAATATTTGACATGTTTTCTAGGTGACCATGTCTTCTAAAGGGCTGAAAGAGCCCAGCTCAGGTTTCTCCTGTGCTTTGTTCCACCCCTCCACCGCTCTAGCTGGTTGTTTTAGCAGGATAATGGAGCAGGGGGGAAGAGACCCATCAAAATTTAGCAATTTCAGGGTTTGTTGGGAAGCCAGGGAGGCATCAGCACAGTGGCACCACAGGGTTCCAGCCCAACTCCTGAGCTGAGAAGGAGGAAAACCAGGACCCATCCCAACTTGGTGGTGCCTCATGGGCCTTTCTCAGGGTGTGATCCACCAAAGCACTTGGGCACATGCTTTACTTTGGCTTTTAAAGAGGTCAGTGAGGCTAAAAACATGATTAAATCAAATATGTGCTTGAGAGCTTTCTTGGATCAAGGCCCAGTGGCCAAGTCTCTTCCTGCAGGAAGCGCTGTGCTGAGGGGACAGCTGCCTCTTCCTCCTGGAGCAGGCCCCAGCTGCTCCCTTTCCCTGCTGATTGCTGCTCCAGCCAGGCAAAAAAGATCCTCAATCCACACTTTCATGAGAATTTGGAATGACAGATATCCCAAGAAAGAAACAGCACTTACTGCTCCGGAGGCACTGGAAAGGCAGAAGCTCCTTTCAGGTTTTTCTGGAGGCAAAGGAAGAACAGAATTTCTGTACACATGAACCCATTGCAATCCCAGATCCTGCCACTTCCAGAGAAATCCTGTCATGGAATGGGTTAGGCTGGAAGGGACCTTAAGGATGATCCCATCCCATCCCCTGCCATGGCAGGGACACCTTCCACTGTCCCAGGCTGCTCCAAGCCCCATCCAGCCTGGCCTTGGACACTTCCAGGGATCCAGGGGCAGCCACAGCTTCTCTGGGCACCCTGTGCCAGGGCCTGCCCACCCTCCCAGGGAACAATTCCTTCCTTACATCCAACCTAAATCTCTCCTCTTTTAGTTTAAATTCATTCCCTTTGTCCTGTCACTATCTGCACGTGTAAAAAGACCTTCTCCCTCTTTTCTGTCAGGCCCCCTGGAAGTGGCACGAGCTATCCCAGCACTCCCACAGCCACCAGCACCATGGCAAGGGAATGATGGGCTGTGCAATCTGAGGGTTTCGGGTCTCCCATCCTCTGAATTTTTAAATAAGTGCATCCTGTGCAAATCAAGACCCACATCTGCCCAGTGGGAGGACATTTCCCCATCCCTGGAAGTGTCCAAGGCCAGGTTGGACAGGGCTTGGAGCAACCCGGGATAGCGGAAGGTGTTTCTGCCCATGGCAGGGGATGGAATGAGATGGACTTTAAGGTCCCTTCCAACCCAAACCATTCAGGGATTCCATGGTTCTGTGACATGATGATGACTTTTGTGTTCCCTGCCTGTGTCCCAGGCACAGCAAACCCTCAGGGAGAGGGTGGATGTGGCACCTGGGGACGTGGCTCAGTGGTGGCCTTGGCAGTGCTGGGGGAATGGTTGGACTCCATAATCTGAGAGAGCTTTCCCAACCTAACCAATCCTATAAATGCCTTAAGGAAGGGGCTGAATCTACAGCTCATGAAACTCTTCTCACCAAGCCACAGCTCTCTACCTTCTGCAGTTCTTGGAGCTGCATCTCCAGCTTTGCCTTTTCCTCCCGCAGCCGGTTCAGCTCCCGGGAGCTGTTTGTCAGCAGCTCTGGGTCTGTGATGCAGAAGTGGAGCTCGGCAGGGCCACAATCCACGGCACTGCTCCCCAGGGACCGGATCTGCTCCCGCTGCAGCCTGTGAGGAGCACAGGGCTCAGTCCCTGCTCATGTTTTGGGTGACATCACTGAGCAGTTCTGCTGCTCCTGAAGGTGCCATTCACTGGGACCTGCTGGTTCTGGCCACCTGCAAAGGATAAGTGGGAGAGTTTCTGAAGGGAGCTTGTCCTAGAGCTATTTGTGGCTTTTATACCACAAGAATTTCTGCTGCTTCCCACAGCCCAAGCTGCCGAGAGAGCTGAGAGCATTGCAGGGACGGGCTGGGAGGTGGAGCTATTTGTGGTACCTCTGCATTTCCACACCATCCACCGTGGGATCAATCTCTCACCCTGCATTTTAAGTGGGAGGAACATATGTGCAAAGCAGCTCCACAGGGTCCAGAGCACCCTGATGTGCAGCTGGAGGCAGCTCGATCCTGGATTGCCGGGAGCAGGGAGAGAAATGTGCATTCCAGATCCTCTGCTCCGTCTGGGAGCCGTGTTTGTCTCCTTCTAGGGCAGGGGATGGGTGCTGTGGGGCTTTTCCACATGGCCCTGAAGGAGGAGGTGGCTGAGGTTTACCCATAGGCAATCAGCAGGTTCTCGTGCTTCTTGGCCAAGTCCTTCATGCGTTTCTTGTAGCCACGAGCTGCCCGAGCCAGCTGCTCTTCCCGGGACTTGTAGGAAGCCCGGATATCCTTGAGCATGCTCTCCACAAAGTTCTTCATGGCAGCTTGGCCAGCTGGGGCTTTGCTGTGGCCTGTCACGCTGCTGGGTTTGCTGTCCATGTAGTTCTGTAAATGCACAGACAGGGAAATCCAGGGGGAATGGCTTCCCACTGCCAGAGGGCAGGGATGGATGGGATATTGGGAAGGAATTGTTCCCTGGGAGGGTGGGCAGGCCCTGGCACAGGGTGCCCAGAGAAGCTGTGGCTGCCCCTGGATCCCTGGAAGTGTCCAAGGCCAGGCTGGATGGGGCTGGGAGCAGCCTGGGACAGTGGAAGGTGTCCATGCCATGGCAGGGGGTTGGCACTGGATGGGCTTTGAGGTCACTTCAACCCATTCCATGATTCTGTGGCAGCTTCCCCCTGCACCCAGATTTCCTGTATGGCCACACAAAATTGTTGGTGAGCTTCTGCTGGGGCTTTTCTTGGTCAGATTACAGGGGTTAAAAAAAACCCTTTTCTTTCTGTATTTACTCAAATTTTTTGGCAGCAGCCTACAGGAGGAGGGTGCCAGTCTGGAGAGACCTGAGGGAACAGCTGGAGCTGTGCTGGGGAGGTTCAGGTCGGATATCAGGGTTCTTCCCCCAGAGGTGCTGGCACTGCCCAGGCTCCCCAGGGAATGGGCACAGCCCCGAGGCTGCCAGAGCTCCAGGGGTGTTTGGATGATGCTCTTGGGGATGCACAAGGTGGGATTGTTGGGGTGTCTGTGCAGGGCCAGGATCCATGATCTTTGTGGATCCCTTCCAGCTCATGATATTCCAGGATTCTGTGGCACCTCCCAGGCCAGGAGAGCCCCGGGCTGGGGGTACCCACCGCCACGTCCCTGATGTACCGCGCCAGCCGGGAGCGATATTCCTCGTTCAGCTCCTTCAGCTGGAGCTGCAGCCGGGAGTTCTCCGCCTCCACCTCCTGGAGCTGGCCCTGGGATGTGAGCAGCACCTGGCACAGCAAACAAAAATCCTGCTGGTCCTCTGGCTGAGCAGTGGGAGCTGAGACGCTTCATAAGAGCCGAGGGTCTTCATTTCCACATATTTGAGTTCACTAGAGCTGGAAAGGTCCTTAATTTTCAGAGAAACCCACTGGAAATGTTTATAATCCCTATTCCCTTGCTACCTTCTGTCATTTGCCACCCCCCACCCCGGTGATTCCACCAACTCTTTCTGAAAACCAGAGAGCAAAATTCCTCCCACCACCTTTGCAAGCAGCTCTTCCACCACGTGCAGGAGGAAACTGCACGGGGAGAACCTTGGTGTGACAAACTCCCTGGAGAGGGAGAGGTGCTGGAGCACTTGGATTCAAGGCATCCCAGCCCTGGCAGCTCGGGAGGAGCACAGGGCAGGCAGATAGGCTGGAGGGATCCTCACCGCTGATTGTTCCACCAGCCTGCGCCGCCTGTCCCCGACCGTGCAGCAGAGTCCTGCTCCCCTCACCTCCTGCAGCTCCTTCCCCAGCACCAGCCTGGACACACAGGAAGAGATTTGGTTTATTTTAACTGCCCAAACTCCTTCTCCATCCCTGGAAGTGCTCAAGGCCAGGCTGGATGGGGCTTGGAACAATTTGTTTTAGCAAAAGGTGTCCTTGCTCATGGCGAGGGGTGGAATGAGATGGGTTTAAGGTCCCTTCCTTCTGCAAATTCTGGGATTCTGGGATTCTCCATAGGTTCAACACAGCCAGCTTTGGGGAGAAAATCACTTTGGAATGACAGAAATCTCCCAGCAGCAGCTGCCAGCCTCCAAATGTGTGTCAACCAGAGCCACAAAATCCCTCCCCACTAAAGGTGAACACCCTCCACGGTTCAGGGGGTCGAGTCCTGTAGAATCCCTGCTGGGGCAGCCTTTCCTGGGCCATTAACCCCATTCCAAGGAGATGGAAAACCCATGGTGTGGGTAAGGGCTGGGCTGGATTAGTCTCTGGGACGTCACACGTTTGCTGTGTGCCACAGAGTGGATTTTCAAGGTGTCCCTGAACACCACCAACTTTAATCTGACAGCTCTGAGGAGCCTTGAAAACATCAGATTTTCCTTCCAGGCCTCACTTCTTCCAAGGGTGGATCATCATTCCTTCCCTGCACCCCCCAAAGGCAGACTGCCTCCTCTCCTGCTCCTGCTCCTGCTCCTGCTCCTGCTCCTGCTCCCGTTCCTGCTCCTGCTCCTGCTCCCGTTCCTGCTCCCGTTCCTGCTCCTGTTCCTGCTCCCGTGGGTCAAATCCTGCTGCAACAAATCCCACAGACACCTGGCCAAGCAGAGGGACACTCACACTCGCTCCTCCAGCCTCTGCTGCTTCTCATCCTGGGTTTTCTTCAGTTTCTCCAGCTCCACTTTTATGTGATCCTGGTTTCCAAGCAACTGAGGGACAAATGAAGAGGAAGATGATGCAGAAGGCTGAGTGAAGAGAGGACAAAGTGAGGAGAACCTCAAGCTGAGCACTTGTCCGGCTGAGCAGTGACATGCTGGGGGAAGGACTGGTTTAACTGGGAGGGACTGGTGCCCTCTAGCACGGCAGGAAGGGTGTCTGATGCACAGCCAGGGCACGTGGAGGTGCACATGTGTCGCTCTCCCGAGGGAAACGCTCACGTTGAGAGTCAGATTCCCAGCAGGAGCCAGTGGGGGAGCCCAAGCTGGTTGTGCAAGGGCTGCAGATGGGGAGGAGGCAGGGACTGTGCTCTCAGTTTTGGGTGCTTCATCACCCCCAGATTTCTCAAGTGTGAGAAAGAAGGGAAAAAAGTGTCCTCTGCATTTGCTGGCTTCTGAGCTCCTGTCTGTGTTCCTGCTGCCAGGGCATGGACCCAGGGAATCACCTCTGCCCCCCTCATCTCTGCCTGCACATCTGGAGTCCTTCCTGTCTCGTTTTGCAACTGCAGAGTTTAAAAAAAGGATTGAAGATGAATCAAGGCATCAGCTGATCCACAAAACTCAAGTTAGCACCAGGAGGTGCCAGCCACAGTTGGAATCGATCCCCCCCCTCTGCTTCCCAAGGATCCAGCAGCAGACCCCCACACACACTCACGTTTCTTTCCAGCTCCTGCTGCTCGTGTTCAGAGGCAGCTGCGTCCTCAGGCTGGTTTGGGGAGAGAGGAGAAGGGGCCTGGTAGATCCCTGGTCTCCAAGGGGGTGGTGGAAGGGCAGAGAGTTCCTTACCTTCCCCCTCCCAGCAGAGTGAGGATGTCCTGCTGCTCTCCCTTTTCCCAGCTCCGGGGAGGATTGATGGGCTGAGCCAGGGGGGTGGATGCTCTCTCTGGCCAGGCTGAGCAGATCCTGGGTCAGCTCGTCATTCCTCATCACCTGCCAGGTCAAACAGGAAGGAAAGAACTTGTGAAGTCCCCCCCCTCCGGTCAGCACATCCCCACTGCTCCTGGTGTGTGCTCCAGGCACACCCTCCCCTTCCCAAACCAAGTTTAATTTTAGTTCTGTCTTTCCTATGTCCAAAGATACCGGTGATTTTGTGCTTCTCGTGGAAATGCATTGCCGGGCAGCAGGGTTATCCCCATGGAATGTAAACCCTCTGCACATCTCACACCCAAACCCAGATCCCAGTGCCAGCCCCGGGCACAGCTCTGCCACCACCTCTGCAGGCCTCCAGCTCCCTCCTTGCTGCATCTGCACCCTCCATGCAGCTTCCCAACACTTCAGGAACATCCTTCCCTATGGAACAGCTTTCAGCAGGGCTGGGCTCCACAGTGCAAGGACAAAGGCCAAGTCTCCATCCATCCATCATCCATCCATCATCCATCCATCCATCCATCCATCCATCATCCATCCATCATCCATCCATCCATCATCCATCCATCCATCATCCATCATCCATCCATCCATCCATCATCCATCCATCCATCATCCATCCATCATCCATCATGCATCCATCCATCATCCATCGATCCATGCATCATCCATCATGCATCCATCCATCATCCATCCATCCATCCATCATCCATCCATCATCCATCTATCCATCCATCATCCATCATCCATCCATCCTCCATCCATCCATCATCCATCCATCATCCATCTATCCATCCATCATCCATCATCCATCCATCCTCCATCCATCCATCATCCATCCATCATCCATCTATCCATCCATCATCCATCATCCATCCATCCTCCATCCATCCATCATCCATCCATCATCCATCTATCCATCCATCATCCATCATCCATCCATCCTCCATCCATCCATCATCCATCCATCATCCATCTATCCATCCATCATCCATCATCCATCCATCCTCCATCCATCCATCATCCATCCATCATCCATCTATCCATCCATCATCCATCATCCATCCATCCTCCATCCATCCATCATCCATCCATCATCCATCTATCCATCCATCATCCATCATCCATCCATCCTCCATCCATCCATCATCCATCCATCATCCATCTATCCATCCATCATCCATCATCCATCCATCCTCCATCCATCCATCATCCATCCATCATCCATCTATCCATCCATCATCCATCATCCATCCATCCTCCATCCATCCATCATCCATCCATCATCCATCTATCCATCCATCATCCATCATCCATCCATCCTCCATCCATCCATCATCCATCCATCATCCATCTATCCATCCATCATCCATCATCCATCCATCCTCCATCCATCCATCATCCATCCATCATCCATCTATCCATCCATCATCCATCATCCATCCATCCTCCATCCATCCATCATCCATCCATCATCCATCTATCCATCCATCATCCATCATCCATCCATCCTCCATCCATCCATCATCCATCCATCATCCATCTATCCATCCATCATCCATCATCCATCCATCCTCCATCCATCCATCATCCATCCATCATCCATCTATCCATCCATCATCCATCATCCATCCATCCTCCATCCATCCATCATCCATCCATCATCCATCTATCCATCCATCATCCATCATCCATCCATCCTCCATCCATCCATCATCCATCCATCATCCATCTATCCATCCATCATCCATCATCCATCCATCCTCCATCCATCCATCATCCATCCATCATCCATCTATCCATCCATCATCCATCATCCATCCATCCTCCATCCATCCATCATCCATCCATCATCCATCTATCCATCCATCATCCATCATCCATCCATCCTCCATCCATCCATCATCCATCCATCATCCATCTATCCATCCATCATCCATCATCCATCCATCCTCCATCCATCCATCATCCATCCATCATCCATCTATCCATCCATCATCCATCATCCATCCATCCTCCATCCATCCATCATCCATCCATCATCCATCTATCCATCCATCATCCATCATCCATCCATCCTCCATCCATCCATCATCCATCCATCATCCATCTATCCATCCATCATCCATCATCCATCCATCCATCCATCCATCCCTCCCTCCCTGTGGGATGACACAATCCCAGTTGTAATGGAATGCATCCCCCCAGCAGCAGCCAGCCCACAGCCCCGTGTAGGCAGCGAGATTCCAAGCGTGGCTGGTGCCAAGTGACACATTTCCAAAAGATGAAGAGGATCTGAATGAGAAAAGCTGTGTTACAGGTGATCTGGAAGGAACACTGGGGGAATTCATGTCTCCCAGGAGGGTTTCTGTGTAGATAACAAAGCTTTGATGGGGTTTATGACTGGGGACAAGCTTGAGTAATTGTTACCATGGCAGTGAATCGGGAGGATGGGAGGCAGAGGTCATCTGAGTCATCCGCGGAGAGAATAGCTTATCAAAAGATAGCACGGGGTGGGCTGGGGGAGAGCGAGGAGAAAGGAGGCTGACAAAGAGGTGAGATCTACAGCTGTGAAACCTGTCAGCTCCAGAGACAGCCCGCTTGTTCCCCGGCCCACAGCGATCCATCTGCAGCTGTCATCCCTGACAATTCCATCGCAGGGGTCACAAGGACCGGTTTAGCCAAAATGAAATAAAATAATAATAATAATGAAAAGGGGCAGTCCCCGGGTTGAGTTGGGCTTCTCTGCCTTTCCTGGGCTCCTGAGCCTGGCATGGCTCCAGGGAAAACCCCGGCCTGGAACCCAGAGCGCGTTTGGGTCCCCTCCGGGGCTGCCGCCGCAGTCGGCGCGAACCTGGGGGACAAAGGGAGAAGGAAGCGGAGAGCCAGGAAAGGTCAGAGCCTTGAAAAGGAAGAATTTACAGCGAGACAGAAAACAGGCACCGAGTGCCTGCCTGGCATCTCCTCGGCGCTTCCCAAGGGCAGGGCAAGGCCGCTCCTGCGGCCGGGACAGACGCGGTGTGTGAATCCCAGCGACAATGGAGCCGCGACAATTCAGAGGCTCCGACTGTTCCCGGCCGAGGGCCCGTGAATGAGCTCGCCGAGCTGCTCCTGCGCCAAGCAGCCATGACAACATATTGGCAAGGTCACAAGTAGCACTTGTAATTGGGAATGTGTAAAAGGTTCATTGTCTCCCCCAGAAGAGCGCTGGGGAAGGGGAGGGGGAGAACCGCAGGCTGCTTTTCCCGTTTCCTTTGGGAAAGTCCGCACTGGGAAAATAATGAGCGAGAGGCCCATGTCGCGACAAGTCCCAGGCTGCCAAGTCGGAGCCTCTCTGGCTTCAGGCAGGGATTTTTGGGAGTCGGAGCCAAGGAACTGGGGTAAACTCCTCGGTGTATGGAGGACATCCAAGGAATTCACCTCTGGCTTCTGGACCCGCTTCACCACTTCTGGGGGCAACCTGCTCTAGGGGAAGATGTCCCGTGGCAGGGGGTGGAAGGAGATGGGCTTTAAAGCCCCTTCCACCCCAAAGCATTCCCTGACTCTGTGGCTCTTCAGGATGCTACCTGGCACAAAACTGAATCCATGTGCTTTCACTGCCTGAAACATTCCAGGATCCATGTGAAAACGGTGTGTTATTACCACTAACCTGCTAAACCCATCATTTAGAGATGTCAGCTGCCTGAAAATCCAGCTTTTGACAAACACATTGCACCCCCTTGGGGACAAGAAGCAGCTGGGAGTGCTGATGGCTGAGCTATTCCTCAGAGCAGAGCGGCTCTGCCCCGTGTTCCAGCGGGACCGCAGGGTGGGATCGCCCCCTGCAAGAGCTGCGTTCGCCTCCTTGTGAGAAATTCCCATTTCTCAGCTTCTGGGAGACAAATGATCTCTCCGCAAGGGTCACTAACTCGCGGATGATCATTATCCTGCTCTGCCAGAGCCCATCCAGACACGCTGGACCAAAGCAGAATTCCTGCTCTGCATCTTCCCAGCGCAGCATGGAAAAGCAGGTCATTGAGCCGAGGCAGCTGAACTATCTGCTGGGGGAGGGAGGGAGCGGGAGGGTGTCAGTCATTCCATCCCATTCAAAAAGAAGGAGAAGCGGGAGGGGGAAGAGGAAGGGCTATTGAAGTAGCCAAAGGAACGCGCAAATCTGGCTCCAAAAGCGTCTGGTTAATCATTGCTGAGCTAGCAGTCAGAGGGAAGGTGTCTGTCTTTTAAGGAACCGTCACAAACTTGCTTGAATTCGATGTTTTTATAAACTTTCCGACCTGCAAGCTGCCAGGCCCCTTCTCTGCTCGAAATGAGAGCGGCTCCAATCCCTTCACGTGCGGGCTGCGCAAGCCAAGCAGAAAAAAGGGAAACAAAGCGCGGAGGGAGCGGCCCGGGCAGCCCCGCCGTGACCTCCGGGCAGCGCCGGGGGCCCCGGGGGAAGCGGGGGGCTCTGCCCGCGGGGGGCCGGGGGAGCAGCGGGTCAGCGTGGGCACAGCGCTGTCCCCCTCTGTCCCCCTCTGTGCCAGCCCTGGCCCCCTCTGTCCCCTCTGTCCCCCTCTGTCCCCAGCCCTGTCCCCGCAGCGAGGGCAGGTCCCACACGCCCTGAGAGATGGAGCTGAGCCCCAGAGTGGGGAGGGGGGGATTCTGCCCCCTCAGGTGAGACCCCACCTGCAGAGTTGCCTCCAGCCCTGGGGCCAACAGCAGCAGGACGTGGAGCTGCTGGAGAGAGTCCAGAGGAGGGCATGGAGATTCCCCAAGGGCTGGAGCCCCTCTGGAGCCAGGCTGGGAGAGCTGGGGGTGCTCACCTGGAGAGGAGAAGGCTCCAGGGACACCTCAGAGCCCCTTCCAGGGCCTAAAGGGGCTCCAGGAGAGCTGCAGAGGGACTTGGGACAAGGGATGGAGGGACAGGACACAGGGAATGGCTTCCACTGCCAGAGGGCAGGGATGGATGGGATATTGGGAAGGAATTGTTCCCTGGGAGGGTGGGCAGGCCCTGGCACAGGGTGCCCAGAGAAGCTGTGGCTGCCCCTGGATCCCTGGAAGTGTCCAAGGCCAGGCTGGACGGGGCTTGGAGCAACCTGGGACAGTGGAAGGTGTCCCTGCCCATGGCACTGGATGGTTTTTGTGGACTTGGTGGCCTTTAAGAGGTCACTTCAACAAGAACTTTTGTACAATTTTATGAGCAGCCTCCGTGGGCCTGAGCTGTGATGGGGATGCACAACCAAAAGCCAAGCAAGGTGCCCCCACAGCAGGGAAATGTGAGGTGAGCTGGGATCTCTGGGATAAGCCCTGGCACGAGCTCTGGGATGAACACTGTGGCCCCTCTCACCTCCTGGTCCAGCTCTCTGCCCAGGGCCAGGTAATTGCTCTTCAGGATGATGAACTCCTCCCCCAGCTCCTGCCGGCTGCTCTCCAGGGCGCGCAGGCGCTCCCGCAGGGAATCTCGCTCCCAAGTCACGCTGGCACTGCACAGCTCCAGCTCCTGCACCCTCCTCTCCAGGGCCTGCATCTGCACAGGGGAGGCAGCAGGGTCACACCTGGCACGGGCCAGCAGCAAGAACAGGGAGATGATTTCATGGGAGCTCCTCGGGATCTGGGGTGCTGGGGGGGAATTCAGCTCCGGCTAAAGGCAGAGGATTTGCCAAGCAAGGTAAAGGTGGCTGTGTCAGGAGCTGCAGAGCTGGGTGAAGGTGTTGGCAGTGCTGGAATTGGCTGTTCCCAAATGTGGGTACCGTGTTTTTCAGTTTGAAGTTCTCGGTCTCGTAACGCTCCTTCATTTTGTTTGTCTCGATCTGGAGATCCACGAGGTCTTTGGAAATCTGGGAGAGACAAAGGCAGTGAAGGCCATGGATGGATTCTGAGGCCAATGTGATGTTTGAGCACAACACATTCCCCTCCAGAAAGAGAAATTTCCCCCCAGATTTCCCATCTGTGCGGGGAAATGGCCTCACACGGCTCCACAGCTCAGTTCTGACTCCCAAAGTTTTACCTTCAGTTTTTCCTCTTCACTGAGGACCATCCTGGCTGGGAAGTCTGTCTTGGAGCCAGGCAGCTTCCCCATCTCCTCCTGTGGGTCTCCAAGCTGGTGCATGTCCTGGTTCCTGTCCTCCAGCTGCACCTGGAGGCACAGAGCAGCTCCAGCCGAGCTCTCCTCTCCCCCTGCCCACCACTGCTGCTGGAACAGCTCAGCACATCCAGCTTCCCAGAACCTCAACAAATTCCAGCCAGGCTTTCCAGCTGCCCTTTCTCCCCTGTAGGTAGGATTTCCTTGTCAGGGTGATGGCTCCATGGCCTGGGAAGGAGCTGCAGACCTTCACCCCTGTATTTTCTGTCAGCTCTGCAGGTTACTCACATTCTCATTCTCTGCAACAATTCCGAGATCCATGTGCTCAGAGGCCGGGATCTCTGCACAGCATTGGGCAGGCAGCGACTGAGAAGCCAAGGAAGGACCCAGGGATCTCTAAGGAATTCTCCCGGGAGGTCCAGCACTGTTGCTACCAACTTGGGTTACCAGAGGGTGTGGCTTCCACCTCGATTTTAAGGCGGCTCCAAATCTTACAGCCACCCTGGGAGCTGCTGGAGGGAAAGCAGAGGCGCTTCCCAGGAGGTTTCTGTGTTCCCAGCTCAGCCCACAGCAGGCACGGGAGCAAACAGCTCAGGAACCGGCCCAGGGCAGCAATATTGCCAGCGAGGGGAACCAGCCCTTGTGCTGGAGCATCCCCAAACCTGGCTGCAGGGATATTCCAGTGCTTTAGGGGCTGACAAGAGAGGGGGAGAGCGACCCTTTACCTGGGCTGGCAGTGACAGAACAAGGGGGAAGATCTTAAAGTGATAGAGGAGAAATTTAGAATGAGTGAAGAGCAGGGATGGATGGGATATTGGGAAGGAATTGTTCCCTGGGAGGGTGGGCAGGCCCTGGCACAGGGTGCCCAGAGAAGCTGTGGCTGTCCCTGGATCCCTGGAAGTGTCCAGGGCCAGGTTGGATGGGGTTTGGAGCAGCCTGGGGTGGTGGAAGGTGTCCCTGCCATGGCAGAGGGTGGAACTGGATGGATTTTTAGGTCCCTTCCAACCCAAACCATTCCATGATTCCAAAGTCTGATTAACCCAATAATTAACCCACTAACCCAACCACCTGCTCCAAGCCCATCCCACGGTATCTCATTTTCTTCCAGGCAACTTCCTCTTGATCTGTGCGGTCCTTGAACCTCCTGTGCCCAGAAGGTCTCTGGATCTCTGAGTTCTGGGAGGCAGGAAAGACCTTTCCCAATTCATCCCTTCTCATCAGAGCTGTGGTGTGGAAAAAGATGTTTTAAAGAAAAGCACACACTGGAACAAGCCCAGATTAGCCCAGACAATGCTAAATCTGGGTTGTGCTGGTCTGGGTGCTGCTGCTGGCTCCAAACTGGGACCTGCCGGGCTGGAACAGGAGAAATCCCACAACCAAAAGTATTTTAAGAATCTCCAGGGTCATCTTGAGGGTAACAGGGAGTGCAGGGCAGAGTGGATAACCCTGGAAAAGTTTGAACAGAGGTAAAATCAGATGAGATCTTTAAAGGTCACTTCCAACTCAAAGTCTTCCATGATTCTAAAATGAATTCCAGCTCTTAATCTCCTCATTTCAGGCTTATTATTGCTGCTATTTCTGTAGAGTGGGTGAGTTTAGGTAAGAATCTGTCTCCCACAGAAAAAAAGCTTTGACAATATAATGTTCAAAAAAGCCCAGAGCTCTGAATAACTCTTCAGGATCTGTCAGAGCTCAGCAGATGAGAGGGAGAGGGGCCATCCTGACAGAATCTCCATGAGCAGCAGAGCTCCTCACCTGTTCCAGGCTGCTGGAGGAGACCCCAGAGCCCCCCAGTGAAGGTGCACAGAGGCCAGACCCAGGGGCTGAGCTTTTCAGGGGGATCATTGCAAGGAGAAGCGAGCAAACCCTGCAATTACGGCTTGTTTTTCTGCAAAAGAACTTAACAGACCTGAAGTAATTTTATTAAGGTAATGAAAGTGTTGATGAGAATTCACAGTCTCTTCACACCCGGCTCGGAGCCGAATTCACACCCTGCCCACGGCGCCGGGAGCCTCGGAGGGGGCTGAGCAGCAGCTCCGCTCCCCGGGCGTGTCCCGAGGGGTCTCAGCCCCACATGGACACCCCGAGGACGGGCACCTCCATCCCACAGCCCCTGGCTGCTGTCCCGAGCCCCTGATTTGGGGGGGAACAGCCGCAGCCATCGCTCGGGTGCTCCCCAGCCCGGCGGAGGATGATGATGGACTCGTGCAGACAAACACGATTGAGGATTGTCACTCACACCGGGAATGACAGTGACCGCTTCTCCCACGGGGTGGGAACACCGAGCCAATTTTGTCCCCGGCAACACCACAAAAAGCAGATTGGGGCTGAGGAATGAAGTTTTGGGGTATCACTGAATCTCCACCCCCATTCCGGACTAAAGCACACAACCCCACCGGACCCAAATCCCAGCTCCGTCCTGAGGTTTTCACTGCTCTTGTCGGGTGCGCCTTCACGGCAGCCCCGGGAATGCGGCTTGAGGAGAGATGGAGCCGCTCCCAAAGGCACAGGAGCTCCAGGAGAAGCTTTGGAGCTCTCAGGCACCGGGCCGAGCCCCTGTTTGCTGTCACCTCTCACCTGGCAGCCCTCGGTGGGGTCCCGCATGTCCCTGTGCCCCAGGGGGACCGGGGAGCCTCAGGGAGTTCCTGCAGTGACTGGCTCCATCTGGCTTCCAGCGCCAGCAAAGGGAATCCGCTCCCGGCTCTGCCGAATTCCTGCCGGGATGCCAGAGGAGCACCTCCCGAGCCTCGCTGTCCCAGTCATGGGGAATCCTCTGGGCCCTCACCCATCCCCCCCAGCACATTTTCTCTTTATAGCCAGCCAAAATCCACCCTCTTCCAGTTTAAAATCACCTTTTAATCACCAGTCTTTCTCCTGGCTCTAGGAAAAGCTTTTCTCTGTCACTTTTCCAAGCCCTCAGGTTGCCACAAGGTCTTCTCCAGCCTGGAGAAGGGAGTGGAGGAGGGGGCTGCAGATCCTCTCTCAGCTCCCCCAGAAAGAACAGGAAAGGTTCTTGCAGCCCCCAACCATCTCCAGGGTCCCCTCTGGCCCAGCCCTGTCCTGGGATCCCAGGGATGGATGTTGGTGAGCTCCAGAGGGAGTTGAGGGGGAGAATCATCTCTTGTGATGAACACCCCTCTTGTGATGCAGCCCAGGAGATGTTGGGGGGTTCGTGGGTTGCCAGCACCCATTGCCACCCCATGTCCCATCTGTCACCCCCTGGCATCCCCAGGGGCTGGGATGGGGCAGGCCCGGGCAGGGGGGGTGGGGTTGGAGCCTTGTGACCACAGCCGGGGGGAGCAGCGCGGTCCCTCTGCCTCACCCAGCCCGTCCCTCCACCCAGGCATCCCGAGGAACAGGCTGCTCCCGCCATCCAGGCCACGTCCAGGACTGGAGAGCTGACATGGGACATGGAAAACACCATTCCCATCTCCCTGCCCACCCTGGCACTGTCATGGGATGAGTTCGGCGGGTGGCCTCCCCTCTGCTCACTCCCCCAGCGCAGCTCCATTCCCACAGCCACTGCTCTCCTGCCTTCAGGCACCTCCAAGTCCCTGCTCCCAGGGTCCCCTCTTTTCCCCACACTGCAGTGTTTGGGAATTTTCCCATCTTTGCCTCCAGCAATGGCCGTGGCCACCCTGAGTCACATCCTGGGGACGTCCTCACCTCTCCCAGCCCGACCAGTCTGGCCAGGCTGGTGCTGTGGTTCCATGTGGCCACCAGGGCAGTAAGTGGCATCAGGAACCTTTCCCAAGCTCCCACAGCAGCCTCTGCTTTGTGGCAGGGCAGCAGGTGACACTCAGAGATGGGGACCTTCACCAGCAGCTGCCACCACTTCCTGGTGCCCATGTCCAGCAGCAGGGACCAGGATGACCCAAATGTGGCTGAACAGAGAGCATCAGGCAAAGCTCCACTCCTGGGCCTTGGTCCCTGCTGGTGTCCCCAGGAGAGTGGCACAAGCCCTGTGGTGTCACCCCTCCCCTCTTTTTTGGGCACGCTTTTGGTCCTGAACGAGGAGCAGGAGCGCTGGTTACCCTGGCAACGGGAGATGCTCTCCCCCAGACAGGAACAATATTTGGCAAGATTTGCTAAAAATACTCCCTGAGCTGTGCCAATGGCCCACGTGTCACCTCCCTGCTCCCCTCAGGGCCCATGGAGTGGCTGCTGGCCCTGGTGGAGCCTCTGGGCACTCACCCTGGCTGGCTGGGGATGGAGCAGGGATCTCCTGGGCTCCTACAGCAGATCCCGGTCCCTCCCCAGCTCAGCCAGCCCAGGGACACAACAGGGACAGCTGCTGGCATGTCCCACCCAGAGGGACCAGGAAAGCTCCCTGGGGAGGGACCTGCAGGCACAGGAGAGCTGCTGGGGAAGGTAAATGATTCCTTAGAGTTTAAATAGGTTTAAAAACTACTTTTTAATGATTTTGCTGCTTTTCATAATACCATTACAGCCTTCTCCATGGCAACCAGGGGAGGGGCTCAGACTTTGGTCCCAGCCAGGGAGTTTATCTGCTGGAGCTGAAGTGGTCGGGGGATCAGATGGGGAGGTCCACACTGGGAAGGGGACACCCATGGTGGGGACCCAAACCGAGGTCCCCAGAGTGGCTGTGGAGCTGTGGATCACTGGGCAGAGGGGGCCTGGGGTGCAGGAACCAACACCTGCAGGGTCTCAGCATCTCCTGGCACAGGAGGAGAGGCTGCCAGGGAGGTTTAGAGGTGGAGACAGGCCTGGAGGAGATGCCTCAAGAATCTCTAAAGGTGGAGATGGGTCCAGCTCCTCCCTGCACCACAACCACACTGGGAAGGGATTTCCTTATTTACCCTCCTTATTTTCCCATTGCATCTCATTCGATATTTCCCTGGGGGGGAGCTGCTGGAGGCAGTGATAAACCTGCTCCCTGCTGCAGGCAGGCCTTGTTTAAACTTCCCAATTAGGTTTTGTGGGTTTTGGCTGGCTGACCTGTGCTGGTTCAGCTCTTCTTAGCTCCCAGATTGATTACACCTTGTGTCAATATGTGCTCAGTGCCTATTAGTGGGTGCATGTATCCCTATCCCTCATTTCTCCCTCCTGATCTATAAATTCCCAGAAGACAGGATTAAAATAGAGGGGGAGGAGAATTCCACTCGAGGCCAAAAGGGAAGAGAGAAAACAGAGCCTGTGGGAAAGTTGGGTGGCAATTCTGGAGCCTGAATGTCTCTCTCCTGGATGTCACCTCTTCCCATGGGCATGGCAATGCCTGGTGAGGTGTGGCCTGTGGGGAAATTCCAGGCTCCCGTGGGAAGGGGCAAGGTGGGAGCGTGCTGGGGTCCTGTGGGAATGGTGGAGGAGAGAATCCCTGCTCCACCTGCTCCTCCCAACCCAGCCTGGGAGAGCCAGGGCTGGGAAGAGGAACCCCAGGGCAGAGGGTTTGGGGAGGGTGGGGGTGAGCGGTGGCAGCCCGGGGCACCTCCAGGGAGGAGTGGGGCTACCCGGACAGGGGAATGTTTAGCCAGGGCTTTTCTATCTGGCAGCCTCTGGCCACAGGGCTCCTCTTGCTGGGGCTTTTTCTTTCTTTGTCTTTCCTGGAAACTGGTAAAAGATTCCTGTGTTGGAGCCTGGTGGGCTGGGACACAGGGTGAGGTCAGCGACCTCAGTGGGCTGGTTTTGATGAGGTGCCAGGGCAGAGTGTGATCTGCCAGCCCTGGAGCATCACCCACCCTCATCCCACGGGGACACAGAGGAGCGGGGGACTCCCACAGCCTCAGCAGGACCCTGGCTTTACTCTCCGTTTCCCCTTTGCCACAGAAGCGCTGGGCAGAGCAGGGTGCAGAGCTCCCAGCACCATCCCCACTTCCAAGACAGGAGGGAAAATGGGAAAATGCCCGGAAGGGGATGAGGGCTCTGCCCCCGAGGTTTTTAGTGCCACACAGGGAAGAGTGTCTTCCCGTTTCCCCATAAACCCTCAGGTGTTTCAGCCCACCTCGCACAAAGGCTGATCCCCAGACCTTCAATCCCTGCGTCCTACGGATGCTCCAAGCCCCAGCGTGTGGATTTTGCGTCCTGATGGAAAGTGAGGATCCCCTGCAGAGCAGGGCAGGGTCAGCGGTGGGACCCTGCGAGGTTGCCCCGTTCCTCCCTCCACACCCAAAGCCCACCCAAGTCCCACCTGTGGCAGGACCACCCTCTGCGGGAGGCCCATCGGCTTCCCGGACACCTCGTTCCGTGCCCTCGTCCCGAGCTGCCCTGCAGGCAGCGCCGGGGGAGCAGCGAGGAGCCCCGGCCGGGCTGTCCCCGAGGCTCAGCCCCAGCAGCACTGGGGTTAAGCCCGGCCGGGCGGGCGGCTGGACAGGCGTCAAGGTGGTTGCTCCATCCATCCCTGCGCAGTCGGAGGGGCCGGAGAGCGGAGCGGGAGCCCTGCCCTGCCCTGCCCTGCCCGCCGCCATGAGCGCAGGCAAAGGTGAGGCTGGAACTGCCCTCGGCCAGGCTGGGGGGACAGGCGGGGACTGGGGGGGCCACGCTCGGGCTCTGCCCGGGCTCCAGTCCGGTTACTCTGCTCCTCCTCCACTGCTAATATGACATTTTGGGGGGCCGCGAGCTGCCTGGGGGGGATGCGGGGGCTGCAGGGCAGAGCCCAAACCCGGATGGGGAGGGCAGGGATGGGCACCGAGACCCTTCAGTGCTGGGGGGTCAGAGGGGGCAGCTGGGGAGGAAGGGGGAGAGGGGTCTGGGGGCCTTTCCCCATGAAAGGGAGAAGCTGCCATTGCAGTACAGAGATGAATTTGGGGGAGTCCCTGCAGCCGAGGGGTCAGAGCTGTGGCAAGAGCGGGGGGGTGATTTTGGACCGTTTCCCAAGGGATCCAGACTTGGAAAACACCCGCAGCTTCCCCGTGTGTGCAGCGGGCTGGGAGCGACCCCTCCACCGCTGTCCCTGCGACGCGGACACCCGGCCGAGGGGTGCCGGGGGTGTCCCGGGGGTGTCCCGGGGGTGTCCCGGGGGTGTCCCGGGGGTGTCCCGGGGGTGTCCCGGGGGTGTCCCGGGGGTGTCCCGGGGGTGTCCCGGGGGTGTCCCCTAAAGCGGCCACAGCCCTGCACTGACAGTGTCCCCTTTCCTCCACCCCCCAGCAGGCATCCCCCTCCTGCTCCCCCTGGCCCTGCTGCTGGCCGCTGCCTCCCAGCCCCCCGGGGGGGACCCCCCGAAGGAGCCGGGGGACGGGGAGGGTCCGCGCTGCCCCGGGCCCTGCGCCTGCAGCCTGGACGATTACAGCGAGGAGCTGAACGTGTTCTGCAGCGGCCGCAACCTGAGCCGCCTGCCCGAGGACGTGCCCCACAACGCCAAAGCCCTGTGGCTGGACGGCAACAACTTCACGCTGCTGCCGGCCGCCGCCTTCAGGAATTTATCAGCCCTGGACTTCCTGGACCTGCAGAGCAGCCAGCTGGGCTCCGTGGAGCAGCACGCCTTCCACGGGCTGCGCAGCCTCTACCACCTGCACCTGGAGCGCAACCGCCTCAAGCACCTGGCCCCGCACACCTTCCTGCACACCCAGAACCTCGTGTCCCTCAGCCTCAACAACAACCACTTCAGCAAGGTGGAGGAAGGGCTGTTTGCCGGGCTCTCCAACCTCTGGTACCTGAACCTGGGCTGGAACTCGCTGGTGGTGCTGCCTGACAAGGTGTTCCATGACCTGCCCAACCTGAGGGAGCTGATCCTGGCTGGGAACAAGCTGCCCTACCTCCAGCACCAGCTCTTCTGCAGCCTCACCGAGCTGAAGGAGCTGGACCTGAGCGGGAACGCGCTCAAGGGCATCAAGATCAACATCTTTGTCAAGCTGCAGAAGCTGCAGAAGCTGTACCTGAACCACAACCAGATCAACGCCATCGCGCCCCGCGCCTTCGTGGGCATGAAGTCCCTGCGGTGGCTGGACCTGTCCCACAACCGCCTGGTCTCGCTCTACGAGGACACCTTCCTGGGCCTCCTGAGCCTGCACGTGCTGCGCTTGTCCACCAACTCCATCGCCAGCCTGAGGCCCAGGACGTTCAAGGACCTGCAGTTCCTGGAGGAGCTGCAGCTGGGGCACAACCGCATCCGGAGCCTGGCGGAAAGGACCTTCGAGGGGCTGGGCCAGCTGGAGGTGCTCAGCCTCAACAACAACCAGCTGCAGGACATCAGGGCCGGGGCCTTCCTGGGGCTGCACAACGTGGCCGTGATGCACTTGTCTGCCAACTGCATCAAGGTCCTGCCTGACTTTGTGTTCAAGGGGGTCAGCAAGCTGCACAGCCTCCACCTGGAGCACAGCTGCGTGGGCAGGATCCGGGCCGGCACCTTCTCCGGGCTCTCCAGCCTGCGGCGGCTCTTCCTGCAGCACAACAGCATCTCTGTCATCGAGGACCAGAGCTTCAGCGAACTGCACGAGCTCCTGGAGCTCGACCTGAAGCACAACAGGCTGAGCCACCTCTCGCCCCGCCTCTTCGTGGGGCTGAGCAACCTGGAGTACCTCTTCCTCTCCTCCAACCAGCTCCTGGAGGTGTCCCAGGACACTTTCAGCCCCCTCCAGAGACTCTTCTGGCTCGACCTCTCCCACAACCAGCTGGAGACACTGGACAACAGCGTCATCTCCCCCCTGGCCAACCTGCGGTACCTCAGCCTGAGGAATAACTCCCTGGAGACCTTCTCGGTGGCATTCCTGTGTCCCCCCTTCGCCCTGGAGCAGCTGTGGCTGGGGGGCAACAATTGGCACTGCAACTGCTCTCTGAAGGGCCTGCGGGACTTCTCCCTGCAGCACCCCGCCGTGGTGCCGCGCTTCGTGCAGTCGGTGGCCGAGGGGGACGACACCCACGTCCCCATCTACACCTACAACAACCTCACCTGCCGGCACCCCCCGGGCCTGGCGGGGCTGGACCTCCGTGACACTGCCCAGGAGAGCTTTGCCCACTGCTGAGCTGGGCTGGCCCTCCCAGGGACCTTCACTCGCCACCTCCCCGGCCCTGGCCCGGCCCCCCCGGGGCAGCAGCAGCAGCAGCTGGGGCTCCGTGGCCGCCCCAGCCCAGCACAGATTTGCCACCACCTCCGGCAGCCGCCTTGCTCAGAAGATGCTGGATGGGCACCAGCGCCCCTGGGCTTCAAACTGAGTATTTCAGTCCTTTAATATTTAAATAGCAGCCCCCAGGGCAGAGCTCTCAGCAGGAGCATCTCTGGATGGGGGAATGCCGCACCCCCAGCCCTGCAGTCACAGCAAGGGAAAGCCCTGCCCAGGCCGGGACTTTTATGAGACAGAACGAAGTGTTTCCCTGCCGTGGAGCAGTGGAGAAATCCTAAAACCCCCCCGAGCTTGGGGAAGGGGGCAGAGGACTTGCTGTAACGATTCCTTGCAGCAGCAGGTGTAGGCAGGGCACAGAAAGCCACTCGTTGCTCACCTGATAAATGGCAGCAGACAAATAAACCTTTGGAGCTATTGCAACCCACCTTGTAAGTTATGTTTTTTCCAAAGCTCGTGCTGCCCGTGGCCTGGATTTCTCCCCAGAGCCCCTCAGGGTGAGGCATTCAGGCTCCTGGGGGGCTCCCAGCATATCCTGCAAGCCCTGGGTGGGTGACACGTTCCCAGGGAGCCAGAAAGAAATGCCCAGCTATGCACAGCCCTGACAGATTCCAGCACTAGTGCCCAGCTCTCCAAATCCCAGATAAGTGTCCAAAGGTCAGGCAAAACTTTGCTGGAAAATTGCATGAGGGGAAATCTGCTCAGGTGTTGGTCCTCGTGCAGCGGGAGCAGGGCTGGATGCTGCTCCTGCTCTCCTCCAGGCAGTGCCTGCCTGCTGTAACCCAGTCTCTCTAGTGGAAATCCAGGAATTCCATCCCAAAACCTCACTGTGAGGGTGAGCCCCAAAGGAGAGAGGCAGGCGGGAGGGGCTCAGAGTGTGGGAGGGAGGGAGATGAGATGCAAAGCCACCACCCTCACTGCTTCCCCAGCTTAACTGCAGCCTGAAGAGGAGGGCAGGCCCCGTGGGAAGAGGTGCAGGGATCAGGACACTGGGAAGGACCTGCCTGGGGACACAGAGGAGCCCCAGGCTGGGGCTGGAGAACAGCTGTGGCAAAGCATCGTGAAGGGCTGCCAGGGCCTGCTCACAGCAAGTCAAGGTACAGACTGGATCCTGAAGCTGTTATAGGAGAGATTTAGCTGAATTCCAGCAAGGAAACCAGGGAAAAGCAGGAAGCACCTTGATGTACATGAAGGGCTAAGACTCAGAGATACAGCAAGGCCTGAAGCCATGGAGAAACCAAAGTCACAGACTGCCATTTTAAGAAAAGTGTTTACTGCCTGGAACCTTGAAAAATATTCCTGAGTTCACACAAGGCTGGCAGGCCCAAGGCCTCGTTTCCAGCACGATGGGATGCAGCTCCCAAAGGCATTTCCTCACGCCCAGCCTGAGCTGTGCCCTCACCAGCCCAGCAGGAGCCAGGGAGCCGAGAATTGCCAGCACAGGGGCCTGGCCTGGCTCCACATGGGAGCACCCAGCCACTGAAACAAGTCCTGTGTGATCCATCAGGCAGAGGCAGCAGGAGAAGGCAGCAGCACATGGAGCCTTGATCCAGGTGATCAGAGCCGTGTGGGAACGCTGAAGGAAGAACAGCACTCGACACTGCAGCACCAGAGTCTCTTTGAGTCTGAGGGGATGCAGCTGCTTCCCTCTGGAACCTCCTGCAGCAGCAGGAATCTGTGCTCCCTCTCCCTCACCCACAACCCAGTCAGACAGTTTGAGTTAAACAGCTCCTGCATCCCCTTCCCGCTGCTGGGGCTGCCAGTCTGGCACTAGTCCAGCTCCACACCCTCCTCAGGAGCTCCTCTGCGAAGTATCCACTATCTGCTGGGCAATATGAGTCAAGGCAGGGAAGGCAGAGCTCTTGGGAAACTCCTGGATGAAGTCTCTGCCTTCTTCCAAGCTCTGGCTGAGCTGGGGGTCCAGGGGGACGCAGCCTGTGGAACAGGGGAGGGGAGAGTGAGAGCTCGCTCCCTGTATGGCCAAGGTCTGCATCCAGGGATAAAAAACACACTGCCACAGTCAACTCCAGGAAAAGTGGCAGGGAAGAGCCACCATTGCCCTCCCTGAGCTCTCCAGGAGATAATTCTCATCTGCAACCACTTCCTCTGGGTCCAAGACCCCACCCCACCCTGGTGCTTCATGTGAGGGGCTCTCCCACCTTACCCCAGCCCTGTCCAGGGACAGCGTTCAGCCCTCAGCCCCCATTTCTCAGGAAGGCTCCAGACATTCCAGCATGGCTTTTATGGAGCTCCAGGCCTGTTTACATTGTCACCATGATATCAGCAGTCAGAACAAGCTGCTGGCATCACCAACTCTGCCCCAGCAGGGCCAGGGGCCCACAGTGAGGAGTTTAGATGGCAGAGAAGCAAAGCACAAACCTCATATTTGCCCAGGTGCCTGGGGCTCACAGCCCACCTGCCCCTGGGATGTTCTCTCTGTGCTCAGCCCTCCCAGAGCACCACGAGGTCAGCCCTGAGCAGAGCCCTGCTCCACAGGCCACTCACCCAGGAAGGGCACCCCGGCGTGCTTGGCCAGCTCCTCGCCTCCCCCTTTGGAGAAGATGTTTGTGCATTCCTGAAGGAGGAAGAGCAGTGAGTCAGGAAGGCCAGAGCCCTGTGTGACAGGGCAGAAGCTGCCAGGCCCTGAGCAGAGCCAGCTCCCCTCCAGCCTCCAGCCCCAGGCGTTCCCCGTGCCCCCGCCCTCTCCCAGCGCTCCTCGGCAGAGCAGAGCCCAAAGCCGGCAGCGTCTCCTCTCCCCAGCCCACAGCATCACCCTCGTGGCATTTCCCAATTCTCCACCCAAGGCTCAGCACCCCACTAGCACAAGGAAGAGCCCACAGCAGCCCCACGGCTGGACAAGGTCAGGAGAGCTCACAGAGCAGTGGGGGCACACGAAGCCGCTCATGTTCTCCACGATGCCGAGGATCCGCAATCCTGCCTTCCTACAGAACGTCAGCTCCCGCCTCACATCCCCCACGGACACAGCCTGGGGGGGAACAGCAGGAACTGGGGATCCCTCTGGCCACACTGACTGTGGCTCCAGAGCAGATGTGTACAACAAGCATCCACAGACAGCCCTGTGCAAACCTGGGCTGCATTTTCCCCGCCCCAAACCTGCTCCCCGCCAGGAATTCCAGCCCCGTGTCCTACCTGAGGTGTTGTGACCAGGATTGCTCCGAGCAGCTGGTAGGGCCTCAAGGCCTCCACGGTGGAGATGTGCTCATCAGACGTGCCTGGTGGCGTGTCCACGATGAGGAAGTCCAGCTCCCCCCAGGCCACATCGGTGACAAACTGCTTGATCAAAGCTATGGAAATAAAAGGGGCAGATAAGAGCACCCAAAGCACCCAAAGCCCCAGGGAGAGGGGACGGGGCTGTCAGCACAACATGTGCTGCACTCTCCCCATCTGAGTGACTTCAACCCATCCTTGTGGAACAGGAGCTTCGTTCCCCCAAGGAATGACCTCTCCAGGAGTGTTAACCCTGGTGTTACCGTTTTTCTTGGGTCCCCTCCACACCACGGCATCGTCCGGCCTCTCCAGCAGGAAGCCGATGGACATGAGGGCGATGGCCTTGTCCTGGCCCACGAAGACGGGGACCCAGCCGCTGTCACACTGGTGCACAGCACTGTCCTGCACCCTCAGCATGCGGGGGATGCTGGGGCCACACAGGTCCACGTCCAGGATCCCCACCTGGGGACAGGCACAGCCCTTCAGACAGGCCCAGCAGGGTGGGCTCAGGAACCCCCAGCCACCCAAATTTGGGCTGTTCACAGCACTTCCACAATTGCCTCTGCAGTCACATTTGAAACACAAATGCTTTAAATTTCATATCTCTCCTGAGCTCCTTCTCCCCAAGGAGCATCTCCTGGGTGTTTCCAAGTGCTTTATGCCAGAACCCAAGTGGCACTGGCTGCACAGAGCCTTTAAAAAGATCCTCAGGGAATTCAGTCTCTCTCCTGTCCATACATTTCCTTCTTATCCCAGTTTTAAGAGTCCTTGAGGTCACCCACTTCACTCCACAGAGTGAGAGTGATAGCACAAAGCAGCAAGGTCATGTCCCAGTGCGAATTTCAACAATAAATATTGGGTGATTTAATAAAATAGATAAAGGAGAAATGAAGTGCAGTACCTGATCCAGCTACCTGAACTGCATTTTCACAGAGATTCCACATGCTGCCCACCAAGGACACCCACATGGAAAGGATGGGCAAAATCCAGCCCAGCTGAAGGCTGGGAGGGAAAAGCCAGAGCTCAGCACCCAAACCCTCACTCACCCTCTTGCCAGCGCTCCGCAGTGCCAGGGCCAGCTCGGTGGAGAGGGTGCTCTTCCCAACGCCGCCCTTCCCGGACAGCACGAGCAGGATGTGCCGCACCCCGGCCAGGTTGGTTCTCTCTGCAAGTGTATCACAGAGTCACAGAATATCCTGAGCCAGAAGGGACCTGCAGGGATCATCCAGTCCAGCTCCAGCCCTGCCCAGACACCCCAACAATCCCAGCCTGGGCATCCCTAAGAGCATCATCCAAACACTCCTGGAGCTCTGGCAGCCTCGGGGCTGTGCCCATTCCCTGGGGAGCCTGGGCAGTGCCAGCACCTCTGGGGGAAGAACCCTGATATCTGACCTGAACCTCCCCAGCACAGCTCCAGCTGCTCCCTGGGCCCTGTCACTGTCACAGGGAGCAGAGATCAGAGATCCTGGGGAGGAGCTCCAGCCGCGGTGAGGTCTGACCTCAGTGTAAGGCAGTGGGAAAGAAGAGGTGGATGTGCCACAGGCTTTTTGTCATCAGGAAAACGACAAGGAGAACAAAGGCAATAACCACAGCGCGTGGGGAGCAGAGGCTTGTCCCGATGACCTAAGCGGCAGCTGGGCGGCACAGCAACAAACAGAGCAATAAACAGAGCAATAAACACGTGCTGGGCTCGTGAGGCTCGGCCCGGGCATGGCCGGAGGCTGATGGTGAGCTCAGGCCCTTGGCGTTTCCTTCCTCCGTGCCACACCAGTCGCTTCCTGCCAGTCCCACGTTCCTCTCCAGCCTCTCTTCCATTCCCTGCCGTGCTGTCAGCGCTCCCGGCTCTGCTTTGGGCTCGGCTCCCCGGAGCAGGGAGCGCTCGGGACCGGTGTCTCCGGCCCGGGACAGCGCCGGGGGCAGCGGGGAGCTCCAGCCGCCCACCCGGGGCCGCGTCCCGGGCACCCGACACGAGCCGGGCTGGGCCCCGGGGCATGGAGCCCGCACACACCATGGCAGAGCTCATCCGCTCCTCCGCCGACGGTAAAACCGCGGGCCCCACAGCGGGGAGGGGGAGAGAAGGGGCCTGGGGAGGGGAGCTCCGGGGCCCGGCTGGGCGGTGTTCCCGGGACAGCGCCCGGACACAGCGGCACTCCGCGCTCGGCCCGGTTACCCGGTGTTGTCTGCCGCAAGAGCCGGGCCCGGGCTTCTGGCAAGGCTCAGAGTCAGCTCCCGGTGCCCGCTGCCCGCTGCCACTGGGAGCCCAGCCCGGCCCGGAGCTCCCCTCACCGGGAGTCGGGCTGAACGCCGCGGCACCGGCTGGGCCCGAGCACCTCGGATCTCCGCGGAACCGGGTCCTGACCCCCCCGCTAGGTCCGGCCATTCGGGTTGGTACATCCCGCGCGAGACGAGTAGGTTCCCCGAGGTCGGGATCCCGGCTCCCCCGGGCCGCGGTCTCCCCGACGCTCACCCCCGGCCGTCTCCTCCATGTTGCCTCCTCGCAACGCCCGCTTCCGTCTTCCGCCGGCCCACGGTCCCTCCCCCACAGAGTGACAGATACCGTGTCCAATCGTGGGCCGCAATCTCACCGGAGGCTCCACCTCCAGAGCTTCGCAGCCAATCCACTTCTCGTGCTCCCCTCGCATCAACCAATGGGCTTAGTGCTTTCCCTTCGCGAGCGGTCTCCCAATGGCGCTGCTCTATGGAGATTGGCACACGGGACAACCAATGGCTCTCCCAGGTCCCGCCCCTTCCGTCCCGCTCCGCCTGTGAGTGACAGGGCGCTCAGCCAACGGCGAAGGGTCGCGGCGCTGCTGCAGCCAATGGGCGCCTGGAGGCGGTACCGGGAGCGGATTGTTTATGTCCCGGGAGGGGAAAGTAGGTCAGAGCGCCGCGGGGCCGCGCCGGGCCGGGCCGGGCTGGGCAGGGCTGGGCAGGGCAGGGCAGGGCAGGGCAGGGCAGGGCAGGGCAGGTGGGCCGGGGGCTCAGGGGATGGGCCGGAGGTAGGAGCCGGGGGTTGGGGTTTGTCTCCGGGCGGGCCGGCGTTGTGCGACCCAAGCGCGGTGGCCTGGCCTGGTCTGATCCGGTCCGGCCGCCTCAGCTGCCGGGACAGCCGGGGCTCCGGTGCCCGCCCTCGGTGGAGCCGCTGCCTGCGCGGCCACGGAGCCGAGCCAGGCCGGGCCGGGCGCCCCGCTGTGCCCCCCCAGTGCCGCTCGGGGCGGGGGGAAGCGCTGGGGCAGCGCGGGCCCTGTGCGGGTCCCGCAGCATCGCCTTGGAAAGGCCTCAGCGGGCCCGGGGCCCCTCAGGGTGAGCGGCTTTTTGTAGCAGCGCTGCTGTGACAGCAGGAGCGGGACAGGGGCCGTTCCCTCTGCTGCCACTGCTGAGGCATCTCCAATCCTAGGGGCAGTCCTGGTTAAGAAGAACACTGCGGGGGGCTGGAGCGTGTCCAGGGCAGGGAACAGAGCTGGGAAGGGGCTGGAGCAGCAGCAGCAGCTGAGGGAGCTGGGAAAGGGGCTCAGCCTGGAGAAAAGGAGGCTCAGGGGGCCCTTCTGGCTCTGCACAACTCCCTGACAGGAGGGGACAGCCGGGGGAGTTGGGCTCTGCTCCCAGGGAACAGGGACAGGACAAGGGGCAACAGCCTCAGGTTGTGCCAGGGGAGGTTTACACTGGATATTGAGAAAATTCCTTCATGAGAAGGGTGGTTATTGGCACTGACACTGGCACAGCTGCCCAGGGCAGTGTTGAAGTCCCCATCCTTGAAGGGACTCGAAAGCTGTGTGGGTGTGGCACTTGGGGACATGGGTCAGTGGCGGCCTTGGCACTGCTGGGGGAATGGTTGGACTTGTTGATCCAAGAGATCTTTTCCAGCCTTAATGATTCCATTGACTCTGCCATCAGTGCTGACTCTAAGCCCCAGCCTTAGCAAGGGCCTGGGGGAGCAGAGCAGCTCCATTGGGCTGCTGTGGCTCCTCAGAAAAACTGAAGAGGTTTCTGCTGTGGTTTTAGATGCTTTCCCAGCATGGCTGTGCAAGCCCTGTGATTTCAGCAGGTGGGATTTCCAGAACCTTTCAAAGCATTGATGGGCAGCTGCACAGCTGCCTGTGGCTGGGCCTGTCCTGCTTCTCCAGGAGCTGCTGTCCCACTGGGGACTGAGGAGCAGGGCTAGGTGCTTTATGGCAGGCTCTGGCTTGGGGCTGAGCTGGGAGGGTTCAAGGGTTACAGCCCTGAGGGTGCCTCTTGGTGGGGATTTAAATCCTGCAAAGATTAACTTTAGGCAGATGAGACTGGAAGCTGAGGTTTCCCTGTCACACCCAGAGCAGTGGTCCTGTGTGGGAGCTGGGAGCTGCTGTGGATGTCAGGCTGTGCACAGGGAAGGAGCCTTGGGAAATCTGTCTCCAACATCCCTGTTGGGCTGGGAGACAGGCAGCTGCTTCCCTTCTGCCTGTTGTCCTTGAGGCAAGCTGTCTGTCACAAGCCTGGTTTCCCTCCAGTGAGCAGGAAAGTGGTTTCTCTTCCTCTCCAAGCACTGAGAGGAGCAAAGTCTTCCATCAGACGGAGGTTGCAGGTGGACAACCTTCCCTGGAGACAGATGGTTGCAGAGGGGCTGGGGAAATACAGGTGGCCAGAGCCAGGACAGCTGCTGGAGGGTCACTGGGCACCAGGGAGGTGTGGATCTAGTGGGATGTGTCCCTGCCCGTGGCAGGGAGTGGAATGAGATGAGCTTGAAGGTCTTTCCAACCCAAAGGACTCTGTGATTCTGACAGTGCTGAAGGTCCCCAGGCCAGGTGACAGGTGGCTGCTGGAACCAGTCCCTCAGAGGGGCAGCTGCCACCACCACCACTGGATACTGGGAGTGTTTCTAGAGGCCAGTTGAACACCTGGCTCAGGGGGAAGTTGACCCTGGGTGGAGAAAGAGCTTGAAGTTCGCAGAGGCTCTTGATGCAGATGGAACTTCCTTTGTGTCAACTGAACTTGTGCTGGTCCCCCTGGGGGGTTCTGGTGCCTCAGGGAGTGGCCATGGGACGTGGCAGAAGTGTAACCTGGTGTTCCTTTCCCCAGCCTACCTGTCTGGGGGCAGCATGGCGCGGCGCCCGCGGAGCAGCCGGGCCTGGCACTTCGTCCTGAGCGGGGTCCGGCGCGAGGCCGACGGCCGGGCCGGCACACGGGGCTGGGGCTACGACTCTGACGGGCAGGTAGGCTGGGCTCGGGGGGCTCTGGGTAGCACAGGGGATGTTTTCCTTTCCCTGATACCAGGTCTGAACTGGCCAAAAGCAGAAAGGATTTAGTAATGGTCAATATTGATACTAAACTAAATGCTTTTTTAAGCATAGAATGGGTGTGTCATATGTAAAGTACGTACAATATTTTAAAATATTTATTTTGGAAGTAGAGCTCTAGATGAGTGTTTGAAGTGGATCAGTTCCCTAACCTGGCTGGCTGTGCTCCCTCCTGGGCTGTGAGGGGCTTGGAGATGGTGGTGGAGATTGCAATTTCTGTCTTCAGACTGAAATTTTCTCGCATTTTCTGCTCTGCAGTGTGAATCTCACTTCTGAACCTGGTCCAGGTGTGCTGGAGATAGGAACACAGCAGGGAAAGCTGTGTAAAACAGTGCAAGGAGTGACTAATTTGTCTCTGTCGTCCTTCCCTATTTCCCTAATTCTTGAGTTCCCTGTGCAGTGGTGGGGACACAAGGAGCTGCTCCAGGAGCTTCAGAGCCACACTGAAGCCAGGACGCTCTGCCAGAGCACAGTGTCCAAACCCAGGCACTGTGCTCCCAGAAAATGAGCAGTTTTCTGTCCCTGCAGTCACAGGAATGACAGGATCTCTAGGTAGCAGTACTTGGGAAAGACAGAATCCAAGCTCTTGGGTCTGCAGGCCAAGGAGGGAGGCCTTGGTAAGCACATATTTAAGCCCAAGTAGTTCCCTGTCTTACACAGCTGCAAGGACATGAGTTTAAAGGATTTTTGTCATTAAATCCCCCTGGCCATGGGGGTGAATAACAAGCAGGTACACCTAGAGCAACACGTAAACCTAGAGTAACTCTGCAACCAGTGATAAGAGAATCCCTTAGGCAACACCATAACACAGAAGTGACACTGGACTGTCACTCTTACAGTGTCCAGTCCAGGATCACTTTGATCTCTTGGCACTGAGGAACAGTAAATCAGGTTTTTGTGTTCATGAAAGTAAACAACAGCCCTTTAATCCTGCCCTGGGTTCCCTATGGGCCTGTCTGCAGCACTGGCCTGAGGAGCTGCAGCCATGCTGCTCAACTGGCTCCCTTTGTTCTGCCCCCTCTCCCTTCTCCTCCTCCCTTTGCCTCCCAGCCTCTTCACAGCCTCTCCAGAGCAATGCTCGGTTCTGCTGATGGCTGGAACCTGCCTGGTGAAAGCCAAAGCTTTAGCACAGGATTTCCTTCAAAATGTGTGTGTTCCAGACTTGGGCTGTCACCCTGTTGTGACAGCTCCACGGCAGGCACAAAGAACATCCCTGCACCACAGAGTGCCGAGAGGTCCCTGCAGCTCAGCAGGCACTATCCATGTCCCAAAGCAGGGTAATTCCATGGGCACAGCCTTCCTGTGTGACAGACCA